TCGAAACTCAAGAACGAAGCTTTTCTGCGAGACTTCCTTCCAAAATGATACTTCGGGCACGAATAGGGTCACCAGCGACCACAAAGGGGACGCACCATTTTTGTGTGACAGGTGTGGGACTCCAAGCACACTTGGTCACTTGTGACCCTATCTTTTTTACTTCAGAACATAGAAACAGTGAATAGGGTCACAAGCGACCAATGTACCCCTAAGTTTGATGTTATAGTACCTTCTGTTTGATCTGCAGCTTCAATGACTGTTCCAGTAGAGGCTGGACCAAGTGTCTGTTGATCTTCTTCCTGTTTGACAAGCTCCAGACTGTTGTCGACTTGCAATCCAGAAACTTCAGGAAAAGTTATTCCACCAGAAACTTCGTCCGTCGCGGTGATATCACCAGCGACCTCCACTGAAAGATTGTCGGTTGCTTCAACTTGGGCTTGCTCTGACAGAATCGACGGAACAGCAGGACGGTTCTGATCTTCTTCCTCCACCTGACCTAAATCCGTAGAGGTAGCCTCTGCAAGAACTTCTTCGGGGCTGTTCAATGCTGTGGCAGGATCTGAAGCTTGTTCTGCTAAATCCGTCGCGACGTTTTCGTCGGCGACCTCGTCAGGCAAAACAAGTGATGAAGGCACAACACCCGAGCTTTGTGTCTCCTGATGTAGCTCTTCCTTCACGTCTGTCAGATGTCCTTGGGCCCGATCTGCAGAAGTGGGTGCCTCACCAAAAGACGGCACTGGCGATAAAATATCCTCAGACAAATCCGCCCAGTTCCGGAAAACCGCAGCGCCTGGTTCAACAGTCGGTGGATTAAATTCCTCAACACCTTCTGCTTCCCCATAGAGCGTTGGCTCCCTCCACTGGAGTCTCGGCGGATGTCGCGCTGTAATCAGCAGCGAGCCCTTCGGAGATGTCTGAGGGCATGCAAGGTCAGTGACGAAAGTGCGAAAACCAGGGGCCTAAACCAAGTTACCGGAGGATTAGACTTCCCAAAAGAGCACTTACGGCTGATAACCAGTGAAAAGCGGGGAACAAACAGGACAAACCAGATCCTCCAGTAACCCACCCATTAAACGAACCAAGCACCCTTTTCCTGAGAAGGGCACTTGAGCCAAGCGTCGATGGCGTAAAAGTTAACCCCGACCCAAGTGGTTGTTTGGGTGGGGAAACTACGGATTACCCATCTCTAACTACGGCTACTCTCCATATCTATAGCACAAGATATGGGGTGCTATACTGTACATTGAGTATTCAGTATATCTACTTGGAGTTTGAATTGGAACTCATAGCTTGGCTATTTACACTACGCTATACCTACCTGCTATGCTACATGTAGTGGGGGCTCAGGGGTCGATATATTTCAACTATTTTCAACTGAAAACAGGTAAAATGTTGGCTAGGATTGCTCGATTTGCAGTAGAAAAGCCCTCGCCTCACTCGAAGGTTCGGCTTTCTTCTGGACTCTGTCCATCTTTCAAAGGTGCCGGATCATGTTTCAAGTGACAAGGGAACACAGTTTCATTCCTTTCAAAATTTTCAAACTAGAAAAACCAAACAACCTGCTAAGCAAGTGCAAGCGTCCGTCAAGGTGTGGAATGGAAATGGGCCTCGCACGCGGAAGAATCATAATGCTACGAAAAAGTTCTGATAATATCCAATGATCAGCATGTCAGGTCGCAGGAAGTTCAAGTTGTTTGAGATCCAAACCCAGTCAGAACTTTGACTCTGTGGTTGATGATCCAACTTGGCGCTTTAAAGGTTCAAAGGCTTTCTACAACCAAGTTCTGTGCCGCCTTTAAGAAGCGAATATCCTTAGGTGCGAAGGCCTTACAACCCTGATCCGCGACCTTACTTTACACATTTCGTGCCTTGAAAAGTGAACTGACCCGGTAATTATGTACGGAACTGTTCCAGGCTCCGAATCCCACGTCCATAAGCTTTCAGCGAAGGAACTCTGCAAGAATCTGCAGGAGCTGTGCCAAATCGCCAAGGCCCTCAACACGTCCACTGCGTTGATCTCTGCATTGATCTCTGTGTTGATCTCTCGTGCGTCTCTATGTTGGCTGGTGGAGCCCGTCGAATTGGCTGTCCAACTCTTCAGATGCTCCACGCATTTGGGCATCAGGAAAACCAGAAGCATAGCGAAAGGCGGCCAGGCAACAGGTTTGTCGCTGTGCCTCAGAATTTTGGACATGCTGGACCACAATGGTTCGCGCACGCCCATGATCGCCCATGCATGGCCATGCCGTGAATTGCCAAATCTTCTACAGATTTCAACGGCTACAAGATCTGCAAAATATGGAAAAGCCAAGGGCTGTCACCAGCAACTCTCCACGTGTTAGTCTGCTGCCCAGACGCTGACAACTGTCGTCAGGAAGACTTTGATGCAGCTTCACTTCCTCACAGGCTGACTTCAAGTTGGGTTCTCAAAACCCAGTTTCATCATGAATCTGGGCTGCAACCTCCCTTCATTGGGCAAGAGATGATAAGAGACATAAGAGATAGAATCAAAGAGCAATAAACTATGTAGTGGTTGCTAGCTGCACCTAGCTGCCCAGCTGCAGTAAGAACCTGCTTGCGCCCAATGGCTCGCTTCCTGGGCTCTGGGTTTGTCACAGTGTACTGATTTGCAATTCTGCAACAAGATAGATGAAGCGCTATGGTAGCTACATTGCAGCTACATGCACCGTTTAACTAGCACCTTGTCATCAAATATGAGCAAATATGGCTCGCAAGTTGAGACGTGTTGAGACAAGCTTCTGAATCAAGAGTGGCAGTAGTCGGAAGGCCACATCACCGTTGGAGCATGCTCCAGGAACTGCAAGAACCAGCTGATTTTCTTCAATGTCGGTGATAACGGTGGCATTGTCGGACTTGTGGTCAGACTCAGATTGCAGGACGGCCACAGCAGCATAGGTCTTGCAATGGGGCATCCTGCGTTGCCCATGTCCCGAAGATGGATGAGCACGGGGACTCATGTGAATCCAAGTGATGATAGTGATGTGTGTATGCATTGCGTTGTACAATGCATTGCGTATTGCATTGCGTTCCATTGTAGTTCATTGTGTTGTAATATGATCAATGTATGCCCTTGCCTGCTTTGCCTACGCTTCTACTCCCTTGTCATTTGGCCTCTTTGTACCCGGGAGTGATTCAGACTGTGACGGGGGAATTGCACTTCAGGGCGTCAAACTTCATGAGAGACGATATCTCTTTTCTGGTCATGATGCAGAGGCTTCAAGGGGGCTGCTTGCAGCCTTCTTGGCTTCGCAAACCGTCTTGGTGTACACATCATTTTGATTCCTTTGCACAACGTGTTGGTCAGCGGAGACCTTCGTGCTGCCAGTGGTGCCCATTATGCAGTATTTCCATGTATTTCCGTGTATTTCCTTTGTGGGTCTCTGCCAGCTCACATGCTGGCTGGGAAGCTTTGGATGGGAGGCTTGCTTGGATGGCAGCATGCAGCATACAGGAATGCTTTGACTGGCGAGGTGGCTGCAAGCGCTTGTGGCATACTTAAATGGAACAACATGCATTCGGCTTCTCACGGTGGCTGCGCCAGCCGGCACGTCTATTGTGTGAGCAGGTAATTTATTTCAAGGATGCTGAGGTCTTGCAGGGCTTTTCCATTGCTTACTTGCTTGCTGCCGGTCAACCCATGGACACAAGTTTTGATGCTCTATGGGTGGCAAAAACCGCAAACATATGCAAAAACAATGAGAATGTAGATATTATATAGATGGCAAGAATAGTTTCTTCCACACGCTTCAGCAAATCACCACCGCCACCATCACATACCACCACCACATGCGGCTTAAGAAGCAAGCACGCGCTTCGGTGTGCACAGGGCCCACCCTTGAACCTCTGTGCCTCTACGTTTCATGTTCGACCCTTTGTTTGTGATGGTTTGTGAATAGATGAACTACAGTATTCGATGATTAGCCGCTGCATTGCCCCATGGTCCTGCATTTCTGTTGGCAATCCAGATCAAGCAAAGGCCGCGCAAGCACCTGCGATTTCCTTGCAAGCAAGTTACAAGTCGATCGAACAGCCAATCAAACATCAAAGGCTGCACTGAACTGCCTTGCCACGTATGGCACATACTTCTCCATCTACTTCTGCCAGCGGCCAGCCATGGTTTCACGATACGTACGTGCCAAGCCCGGTAGGTTGTTTTTGGAACCAAAAGAAATGATCTGCCAAGGCTCTGGATTGGATCGTTGGGTCGCAAGCAAGTGCCAAACCGATCATTGAAGCCCAGCACAAACTCACCACTGCATACATTGTAGTCCTTCTCCTGGACCAAAATTTGACGTCAGAAATTGAATCAGTGACGCGAACACTGAACATGTCTAAATTGTTTTGAATATGCTTGGAGTAATTTGGAATATGTTTGAATCAATTTTGAATCTTCTCCCAATTCGAATTGATATGAATTGATTCAAATGTGGACAGCAGGGGCTGCGGGTCTCCTGGAGGAACCATCCCAGTTCTTCTTGGCCGTGCACTGTCAAAACGGCCTGGTAACGTCTCACCATCATATCACTGAGGAAGAGAGTGCCTTCAGGGTCGTTTTGATCCAAGAGCTCCAAGAGCTCCAAGAGCTCCAAGCTCTTGCTTTCGAGAGTGATGGGCCACGTTTTACAAAGCATATACAACCCTTGTATCAAGTCATACACGACCGCACAACCACAAAGCCCCCAATTCCACGAAGACCGAAGACCCACACTTTTTTCGTGCTCCAAACACCATGATAGCTTGTTCTTGACGGCATGTTCAATGACAAATCACAATGGGAAACTGCATGAAACTGCATTCCACCATCTCCCTGATAGCAGCTTCAACCAAACAACCGTAAATAATCACCGCATCACTAAGCAGGATAGCTTCTATATTTGGAAAACAATGCAAATCATATGTGACATCTTTGCAAGCTAACCGGCACCCGGAAACCGTTTTCGCACGATTGCACTAGCGCGCAACTTAACGCAATTACCTTTATAGATCTATAACCTATATAGTAGGTGACCAGCACTTCAGTCCTCGCATGGCAGGTATATGGCAGCTTTATATTCAACATCAATCAATATCATCTAGTAGTTGTCAGGTGAGAATGTTGGATGAACGGAATCTGCCCACCTTTCAAACCCAATCGCTGACCACGAAAAAGGTCACCTGTCATCTCCGCCACGGCAGTATATTTCGGTGGGAAGAGCAAACGCCCATTGTCGCATTCAGATGCTCCGCCAGGCATCTTCTCAATTTCACATCGGCTATTTGGCACGCATCGAAAAGAGAAGCTGGCACATTTGCTCGTGTAGGCTCCGCAACAATATTGCAGCTCAAACTCAAGAGCTCTACCTCGTCGAGCAGAAAGAATGCAACAAGCATCAGTTTTGTCTGAAATAATTCGAACAAATTGTAGATTCAATTTGACACCCGGCCAAAGACATGCCGATTACCATTTTGCATTCTATTGCTGCCTCATGAGGGTAATCCGATAAAAAACGATAGAAATGGAAAAGCATAGCAAGACTGTACTCTCCAGCACAGTCACTGCAGCAACTTTCGAAGGAAAATTGAGAATCCCAGCAGGCTTCAGCACCTCGCGGCCCAAAGCGTTGATCGCAGCATGTCAAAGCTTCCTCATATGCGACGCCAACAAAGCAACTCGGCACCTGAGGGAGACTTCGCATCTGTTATCCAAAACAGCTCTGGAAAGCAAGTGAGAATTCGCAATATTTCTTTGAGGCCTGTACCAATGTCATGTAGGCACACCACGCAATCATGTTACAAATGCATAGGTTCCCTCCGCTTGGGTCTAAACTCGATTCAAGAAGCATGCCCGCACACAACTCTCTGAGGTCTCCCTGCTTGCGCCACCAAAAATAGTGCGCACAAACCCAAACCAAAACTTCATACACACTTGGCACACTCTAGCCTCAATAGGTTGTACAACTCTGCTAAGCATCAGATGGCTTCTTTTTTGCGGCCCTATGTGCAGCTCCTTCTGCCTAGTGACGGGCCGGAGTGATTCTGTGGTCAACAGCTTTGCGGCCAGCAGCAGTGCACTCTGGGCAGGCAGCATCAGTGACATTCGGAACCCCGTGGCTTTCACATGGGCACACAGCAGATGTGACAGCTGTTGCTTGGACAGGAACTGCGAATCTTGAAAAGGCTGTATGAACGCATTCAGAATTCAGCGGGATCAGCCACGAAGACACAGCCGGTCTTCCTTGTAACATGATACCAACACATTTCAAATTAGTTCATTTTGTCGGTGTCATATGGGAGCAGTAGATCTGCAATGCGCCTCCAATGTTCTTTGGGTGCTGCTGGTTCTTGTCCGTCGATCTCGATTCCAAAATGAAACTGCGTTGTTGTTGCAGCTGTGCGCTGTCTATTCCAACTGAATCTTGCCCGTGATAGTTATGGAAGTTGCTACAGGCTAAAACTTGTCACTAATGTTCTGGTTTCCCCCTCTGCAAAAGCAGCGGGGCCAATAATAACATGGGATTTGATACGTTTCCAATGATAACAGCCTCCAATTCCGGTTGGCTTCAACGCGTCTATGCATCTATCATCACCTGTCCCATTGCTTGCGATACAACATACCAACCTCCCACTACTCATATTGGATTGCGTCATTTTCCTCCCGCATTGATTGAATCAACATCGCACTTGCAAGGTCTCTTTTCTTCTGAAGCGCGCGTTCTTCATCGATTTGAACGTTCTACTTACCTGGATGGGAGTCTAATCGATTCAATCCGACTCCGAACCTCAAGACGGCATGGCTTTGACGTTGCGAGTGTTGCTGCACTTTCTAGATATTATCAATGCTACAATAGGTTGTTCAGGCTTCAACTTGAGGCCTGGGCTTGAGCAAGTTGGTTGTCTCTTGAAACTCTGAGATCCTGATTTCCACAGCACTGAAACTTCCACCCACTTTCGCTTCTGAAGAGAACATAGCACAAGAAATGAGTCAAGTGATGAAGTTGAAATCAGAAGCGTTTTGCACCTCCAAAATCTCCAAATTCCTTCTATGATGCTTGTTGCAAGCTCCACCCTGAATCATCTTTGCGGCCTCCGAGCACTTGACCATGTCGGTTGGGCTTCGTCTCATAGAATGGCGATGATGATCCCAGGCCAGGAGCAAAGCGTCATGCTTTCAAGATGTTTCAAGCCACAAATTCGAGAAACGCCTTCACAAAACCGTTGAACTCCTGAGATTCAGCAAAGGCGTTTGGAAGCCGATCAAACAAAGTGCTTGGAGCCAACTTCTTGTGACGTGTGGCACCCAGCCCCTGTACATTGCGCAATCCTGCACATCTGTCTACTACCCCGCCTGGATGTAGCGCCCCAAAGATGCCAATGAAAGGTCGTCAGGCAACATCATACGATGCATGGAGATCTTGTTCCTGAGCTCCAAGAGGATGGCCGTGGCCGCCTATGGCAACGTGCAACTGTCACTGGCAGTACGTGAAATTTGGACATCGCAAGTGCAGCAAAATCTAAGTTTAGTTGCATCTCGTTGCAAGTCAGGAAAGCTACAGAACCTGCAAAGCTCAAAACTTTGCAGATTGCAAATGGTAAAATCTTCGACTGCTGCGAGCTCTCTGCAGCTCAGGCTCTCGTACCTTGGTTGGATGCAAAACCGCCAAGTGGGGCGGGTAGATTCTGAGAAGGCCTAAAAGACTTAGCTAGCTCTCAATGGGATGCACAGGAGCAACAGAGGTGAGCTTGATTGGGAGACGCGTAGAGAGAGGTTTATTGAGTTGACTACGCAATTTTGATAATGACAAAGATAGGTTGAGTGAGAACCCGTGACTTCAGCTGCGAATTACGCAGTCCCTCGCGCTCATTTCCAGACCCAGCTCTATCACTCATGCAACACAGGAAACCCTGTATACACCAATGTGGCTCCTCTACAACGGTTTTTTTCCCGCAAGTCTCAACTATTTTCAGAGTCCTTATGAGTCCTTAGAAGAGACCTTCAGAATCATACTAACCTCATCTAAAGAATCTAATCATACTATGCTCAGTTATGCTCATGCATGGATGGTGAAACCATGTGAAACATGAAGCAGTCGATAGCAGTCGCTCAGTGCATCGAGGCAAGCGACTGCAAATCTTGGACGCCCACTTCGAGGTGCCAACGCACCTCCGGGGTGTCGTTGGGCCGTGGACCATGATGCACCAGCACGGAATGTGACAAAACGTCACCCGGTTCCTTAGTTGTTTCTGTCAGTTTCACGCCCAATTTGTTCCATGACGCGGTTTGAAGAGCGGTCGGCATCTGCCTCCGACATGAAAGAACTGGAAACCACAGAAAGATTAACTATTGACATGTTAAGTATGGAAATCTTCTTCGCGATATGATTGCAAACCATAATTCACCATGTGTTAGTGTTGATCTCCAAAGCAATTTATACCTGCACTGAGCTGGGAGAAACACACAGCTGCATCTACATTCTAAGCGTCAGCTTCCATCAGCTTCACTGTGGCATGGTTCTCATCATATTCATATTCAGGAGGGTCATGTCCAAATAGCCAGCCTGATGAAATCTCCGACAAAATCTGGATCTTTACAAAAGTTCCCACAGAATCATGGGAATGTATCGGCATGTCTCGGCATTTGGCATGTCATGCACTGCAGCACTTTAGCAGCTTCAGCATAGCTTACCTCCAACCTAAGTGAAACACGGCGATTGCATGCCCGAAGCCCTCGCCATTCCTCGACTCCTCGCGCCTTTTGCCCAGAAATTGGGATCTAAGCCTTTGTGATGGGTGCCCAAGGCGTACATCAAAGCTCCCTTTCGGTAGGTCTCCTCAGGATACAGCAGGTTGCCTCTGCAAGTTGGAAAGTCATTGAAACAAAGAGGAAAAGTGAAAAACAAAGAAGAAGCGGCTCCCCCGGAGACAAACTAAAGCACGGTTTTTGTTTTATGATCTTTATTCGTTGGAAAGGTTCCGAAGAAAGGTGCCAGAACCAAGAACCTTTGCAGCGCTAAAGCAGTCTGGCTTCCGTTGTCAAAGGGATATGAAATACAGCAGCACGTTCAGCAAATTCAGTCAATTCTGGATGCGCATCGTTGTATGTACCTTTATCGTCAAGGATTTTGCATCAAACCAGCAAACAAGCAGACGTGGGACAAGATTCATCGAGCTGCCTTTGCCTGTTTTCTGCAAACCTTGACATGTCTTGACTTCTTCAGCTTGTACTTTGAAGCACTTAAAATGGTTGGGAGGACACCCCACGGGATTCCACTTCAATTTCGCATTGTTGCCTTGCGTTCTTGAATTAAAAGCAGCCGTGCCGTGAAGCTCCATGGTATCATGCCAGCTGCCACACGCCCACAAGCACGCAAAGGCACGTTTGTCAGTAGCTAGCGAGAGCAAATATCTAATATCCTGATGCCACACGATGGTGCTCGCATTGCCTCAAATCAACGATCTCTTGAGCCCCCTGGGGAAGTGCGTGGCTATGCTGCTATGCTGTCGTTCTCATGCTTGGAATCTCATGCTATAGATTGGACGCTAGTCAGCTAGTCTTTACAAGCATGTGAACATACAAACCTTTTGGATTCATCTCGATGGTGGATACGTGTGAATGCCTAGGAGCAATTTAAACGCATGAGACAGTGCCAAAACCCGGAGGGGAGGCTCACGAACAGATTGACCGCCATGACGCTGAACCATTTGGGAATTCCATCTAAGTGTGACCCTTTTGGATCCATTCGGGACCTCTGGTGACATTTTGAGACATTTTGAGATTTCGGATCCCAGTTGCATCCTGGAGCCTTGGATCTCAAATGCATGTAGAAGACTCCGGGGTCCTTCAATTCAGCGTCTATACTCGACTGTTTGCATGAGGGTCCGAAACAAAAACTTTGATCCGGAACAATATGAGCGGCACATGTTTGATCAGTTCAATTAAACAAGTATTGGAAAGTGCTAAACTAAGCTGCCAAAGGCACCCAGGAGCAACACAAACAGCAAAATCTGCTTCAAGGATTTGCGGGTTTAACAATGTTTAACAGTTCGCCTTTTGTACAGCTTCACTTCAGAGTATAGTTCAAAATGTGAGGCAGTCAGTGTGGCTTGAGGATGCAAGCAAAGCGTTCTCTTTCAATCTTGAACTGGGTGTATTCGTATATACATTTGCAGACAGTGCATGTCAGTCCTCAATACCCAAGACACATCTTGCTAATCTTTTCAGGTTGGCCAACATCGGGAAGAAATATAACACCTCTGTGAGATGAAACTTGTCAATGGTAATCCTCAGGGACACAAGCACCACAAGCTGGGACGGCCCCCCGGGGCAAATTTCTATCAGAAACGTTCAAGCAACGAACACATACGAAAACCCTTGCTCACACATATCTGCTCGCTGATGATTTAATCCAAAGCTGGTTGTACTGGGTCTCAACGTAACAAACTGATTACATACACAATATATCACAATATACAAGTGCAAAAGAGCGTGCATAAATTTCAACAAAACGCATATATGAACTTATACGCTTGGATGGCTTGATGCGTGCCGGCTAAGAGCCCTGGTCGATAATCCCTTGACTGAGCTTATCCCATGCACAAGCGGGCAAACCAAGGTTATCACCAGATATGAGGATTCACATCTATGTGGGTTTTTAAGCAGAGTCCTGCCGAACACATCAATTGGAAGAACAGAAATGAATGTCCAGCCCTTGTGCAAAGGAGCTAGTGGATGTAACGGCAAATAGCTTGTGCCTGGCCACACTATGCAAACATTTCGCAGGCCAGCCCTACTTGGTCAAAACCCGGGGGAAGCAGTAAGTCACCTTACCTTCTTGTGGCAAGGCTCTCCATGACATTACAAAGAGCCTCGGGAAAGAAATCTTTGCTTTCCTCAGAACTCGCAAGTCACAACGCAAGGAAGTTGGGGGGGCACAAGGCTGCCCCTTTCTCGGTACATAGATAGAACTATGATGAACTCTGGCTCTCTTTGGGACCTTCACTGAGAGTTCAAGAGCTCCTTGGAGCCACGAGGAATGCAGCACGAGGAACCCATGGCTTTTCTATGCTTTTCTATTTGTGCCTTTCATGCCGTCTGATGGGCAGCTAGAAGAAAAAGACCAACGAGTAGGCTTTGTGATTGCGCTATATTGAGCAATATCATGTGCCAAAAACATTCAAAGATCTCTGATACTTGTAGCATCTTGTGATATCTGGTAGCTGGATTTGCAACTGCCCTGGCAAACACAAGCTATTGATACCAGTGTCGAAAGCTAGCCCATCGTTGACACTTCCAACTCCATGAAACGCAATGAACATCAAGGAACTACCACTAGACCGTGGAAATTTGGAAACAGCAACCTTCTGTAATGCATGAATCATGAAGAGTGCCATGCAACCTGGGTAGACTGACAGCATTGTCAGTGATAGTCGGTGGATATTTGTTCAACTCACTCTTGTGGAGCAAAGGAAGCTAACTGATTGGTCAAGAGTCCCAATTGCCACCGCCATGATCACGGACAACCTTAGTCTTCAAGTGCAAGGGATGTTCAAGGAACAGCTCAGGGGGTTGTTTGGACTCAGTTTAGACTCTGCAAATCTTCGATGTGCGAGATCAGCCATTTGAGGCCACCCCCAAGCTGCTCCGACCACTGCTATTGCTTGTCTTCTTCAGCAGCTTAGTCAATCTTCAACTACAGCCTTTTGACCATTTTTGACCTTTTGCCTAGTCGGTTTGTTGACGGCAAGCGCATGCCGCTTCAAGATACTTCCCAAACAAACCTGCTGGAGCTTTTGTTTCCACAACATGTTAAAGCCAACTAAGATTTCCAAGCGGTGGCAAACGATCTCAGCCAATGTCAGTGATCATTGCACGTTGCTAATGAGTTTGATGATTTGGGTTCCAGGCAAGCGGCCTTTTCTGCTGCACGCTGGGCGGATTTCCAAACAGCTTCTGGTACGGCTTTTCGCATGCGCGTCACTCCTAAGTCCTTAGATGCATGGGTCGCATGTCAGGTGCCCCAAACCTGGGACTTTGATTGAAGGTGAAGAAGGAACTGCTCGGTTGCTTTATCAGTTCTTCAGAGCTCTGGAAAAACAATACTATACTGGCGAAACATTGACAAAAAAGGCAATGAGTCAAAAACATGGGCAGACGTGCAACCAACATTCAGTTAGGATTTCCTTCATCTTCGAAGTCTGGAATGGTCCAGATTAAGCGGCAACAAGAGCGAATAGAACTCTAAATCAAACCACTGGCATCAACAGTGTTGAAATGACATATATAATCACCCATAATTATTCATACCAATTCAGATCTTTTAACAAGGCTCCAGATTGGAAGCACAGCTGCGCAATGGAATCTGTGCAGCTCAGCGTCCTGGAACTCGGTCCGTGCTTTTGAGCACTCCTGTGGTCCAAGCTCCAACTCCTCCAAAGCCACTGCCTGCGCAGCTTTAAGTGTCGGAAAGAGAAGGAAAAAAGAGGAAAAACATGAAAAAACTCAAATCGAGGAAAATCGAACAAACACAGAATGAAACTGATTGCACAAATTGAAACACAGAACAAGAAGGAACAAGTCGCATCATGTCCAAAGATTTTGCCTGGAGGTGGCTCGTGTCGAAGCCCGTCATCCCATAGTAAAAATCCGGGCTGGCATGGACTCTCAAGTTGGAAGATAGAAATCCTTTGCTGAAAATGCAAATGGCCATGAAACTCAACATTTTTATCATTTTTCTGCACCAAAAAATGGGCCCAAAGAAGCTGCAGATCCCTAAAGGCTTGATCAACCAAATTTTACTGAGTTGGGACAGTTGTTTATTCATTTTTGGTCTCAGCATCCGTCTAAATCGAACAGCTGCTCCATTTCATCTCTTGACAACGAGGGAAGGACTGCCGTGTTGTAGGCCTGGGGGAAACATGCAGCTTCTCGGATGCACTGGACTGGTGCAAGAGACATGTCATCTGTTCAACAAACATAGAATGAAAAAGAAGCTGGGCTCACGTCGCCTGAAAGAAACGAGACCTCTACTTCACAACAAGAAAGAACATCAAAAGTCACACTTCAACCTGATCAAACAGTGGTTGACGAAGCAAGTCATGAAACAAATCGTCAAACACAACGAAGAACTGGCATCAGCATTTAGACAGATTCGCACAACCAGAAGCGGCTTGCAATTTATTGTCTGTCACTCTCTTCATGCTGCAAGGGCCTGCCTCCAACATGCGCTGTTGTTTCGTAGAACGTAGGATCACTGAGATACCCTGCTGCAGGAAGTACTTCACAGCCACGTCCATACCTAGGACATGGACACGGGGCAAACAACTTTGTCAAACCGATGATCCAACATGATCCAAGGAACGCAAACAATCACACTTTGAATTTGCTGCAGAATGAATATGAATCCTGACCTTGGGGTGCCTAGTCATCTAGATCGACCAAAACTTTGGTTTTGGGCATTCTATAATAACCGACAACGTGGCCAGATTTTTGTATCAGTTGCAATAAAAATTCGGGGTATTATCGGACTAAACCATCGATGGAAGGTTCATGAAGGTTCAGTCCGAGAACAGCCTCCAAGAAGCAATGCATCTGAGTTGCTTTGCCATCCCTTCTCCTCAGCAGGGACGAATTTGCCATGTGTCTACTGTGTCTACATGCCAGTTGGAGAGTGGTATTAAACCTTCAAAACAAGAAAGATAGAGAGAGACACACACACACGTAAATAAAATAGGTGAAACCTTCAAATAAATTGACATATGGGCCGGACACCAGTTGAGCAAAACATACCTGACATGAGAAATGCAGAAATGTCGCTACCTTTGAACCTGGCACCTCAACACCTAGATAGGCGCAAAAAGAAGGCATCATGTCATAATGACATTCTATGCGCCAAGAATCTTTGGTCTGAGTCTGGAAAAATGGCTGTGATGTGCTACACATGTAAAGCGAACCTTAATGGTCATATACCCAAATACCTTTAATGGTTATATACAGTACCGATTATATACCCAAAAGTTCGCCAAAGTCATGTCATCTTGCAGTCATCTCACATGATGCGCGATGCAAGCGGGTTTCTTTGGCAATGTTGCGAATCACCGGATGGGTCAGCAACGGGCTCAGGTTTTGGGCCAACTTCCCCGAGAAGCCACGGCCCTGTGACCTCATGGCGTCATCTCAGATCTCAACAGCAGTCCTTTTCAAAACATGTCACTATTTGATCCGCGACGTACCTATGCAGTCCTATGCATATGTTGACCATTCTCGACGCTACTTTTTGCAAAGGGCTTTCCGTTTCGAATCCTTTCAATCTGGTGATGCTTTTTCGAAGACTACATCATTTTGTAATCGCAGTTGAGACCCATCTAAGGTTAGCTTTTTCTTGCCAGAAGTCCTAACGACATTCGTGATTAAGAGTCTTTAAAGGAGCTGCTCATAGAGGGGTTTTCAAGCTGCTTTCTGATGTCAGCCAAGAGACCATTCGTAGCCCAAGACTCCAAAGACTTGAATCTGTATTGCCTCTGAAAGAACTCAAGATTTCACTGCATCACGGAGGCTTTATCAAGGCATTCAAGTGGACAAGTATAGAATACGAGGTCTCTTACATATCTTACACATATCCACCATCTCAATGTTTCGCAACTTTCCTGGAAGGTACATGCCGAAAAAAAAACGCCTTTGAATACAATCCCAAAGCATGTTTGAGACAGTAAGTATATCATGGTCTAGCCATCAAGACGGCAGCACTGTTTGAATGTACAACAAGACCGATGCACACCTACACAAGATGCAAATGCACCTAAAAGGACTCAAACTTCGCCAGCTGAAGAATATTGAAGAATTCAAGTTGAAGATGATTAAAGCGGAACGGAATAATTAGCTTTTGGCTGGAGAGACACAGATTTCGAAAAGCGACGTAGAAATCATCACGACAAAGAGTTCAAAATCATAGAACCGGCTCTCAAGAGAAATGCGTGGCACACTGCCAAAGTGGAAACAATGCAGAAAGCAGTGTCTGATCAGCGCCGGTACATGCAGCTTATGTATGCTGGCCAAAAACACCAAAAGTGCCACAAAGGCACGTGTTGCTCGCAGATTCGTCGCAAAGAGCGTGGTACAGGATGAAAAATGTCTGCCCAAAGGCCCACAACTGCCGGAGGGATCTCCGCCATGTTAACCAACCGTTGCAACCTTGGCCACTTGGATTGCACAAGCAAGGCGTCAACAAAAGAGTGCAATGATAAAGAATATATATGTATTTATTATATAGACATGTATTATCGTATATATATATATATATTATACATTATGTTATAGTACAAACTAAGTAATTTTAAGTTAGCTTTATTTTCTTTCAGTCAAGAAAGATTGCAAAGTGGTGCCAAAAAAGATTGCAAAGTCATTGTTCTCTCAGTTCTCTCTTCCGCATTACAGTATTGTCAAACTTCAATGCGGTGAAGGCCAGGACCTTCCACAACCCTCTCAACGCGTTGGATGCTTCTTATCCACGACCGCACAGGATTTCTATTGACTCTAGAATCACTGAGGACATCCTCTCGTTACAACCTTGATTCAGGTAGAATTTTGAACGTGTTTTCAGGCAATGAAGAATTCTTGAGATGTGCTAAGCGGCTGTTGAGCGTCAAAGTTTGTCACGCCAATAGAGCGAACCCATCTGCGACGCACGGATTCTTCCAAAGCTCGCCAACTATCCTCCAGTGGCGTGGGGAGCCAACCAATTTTAAGTTCAAAGAAGAACCAAAAATCAAAGAGGGAAGCTAAACAAGGACAAACATTCAGTGAGCTCACATGACAACCGCAGCACAAAGATACACAAAGTCAGAAGATCTTTCATTCTGACCGGGAAGTGACGCCTGAAGCAGAACTCAAGCATTCATGAAACAAGTCCCTATGATAAGACTTTGAGTTTCGACCAACATTCTGATGTCTGCGCTCGAAAGACAACAGGCTTTATGCGTGCGGGGAATCTTTGATCCATAAAATCAAACGTCCTGAGCCATCCCAAGCCAATCTCATTTTATTGCCTTCATGTTCCCTTTGGGGGTCTTTGGACGTTCTCACGGATGGGTCCGAATATATCCGAAGAGTAATTCAACCCAACTTGCAGGCTCCCAAAGGATCACAAGGGACCGTTTATGTGAGCAAAGATTTGTCCAGAAATGCTGGTCGTGATGAGTCGATATACGAGCAAACCAGTATCACACCTGCATGTGTATGGAACATTGCGTCGCTTCATATTTGTAGATTGTCCTCGAAGGTACCCAAAGGTCTCAAAGCTCCTGGCGCGGCCGTGCTGCTTAATGCAGGCGCAGCCGTGAACCTCACCCTTTGCCGCACTGTGAACGGTTCCCAAAATATCGAAAAAATGAAATCTGGGTTCCCGTCATTCTGTTGGTTCCACTATGTTCCACGTGCAGAATTCACCACTGACGTCCTCCAGCTGGACAGTAATCGCGGTCGCAGGTAGGAAAGTGGATCAAAAACAAGTCAATGTAGCCTGATGCTGGCGAGATCTGAGACTATCTAGGGGCATTGAAAGAATCTGACCGGAGTTGCAGTGAGAGATGTTGAGAGGCTGGCATTATAGGCACAACTTGACCTCGCATGGCCCAGTATGACCCAGCCTTCAGCAGCTTCGCCAAGTTCACTCAAGGCACGCTCCACTGCACTGAGGGTCTGACCTCAGAAAGAAAAACGCATTGAATCATATCCCGTCATCTTTGGTTTACTTGTCGAACACGGTTTCAGTATGTATACAGTATGTTCCAGTAAACCTTGCGTATCTCTTGCGTCTTCACTCTGCAAGTCGTTGAGCTGGGATGAGACATCTACAGTTCAAACTTTGCCAAATCTGGTTCTGCTGGATCTCATTCAAGCTGCCATAGCCAAGTTCTCCAGGGTGAACTTTGGATGTCAGAAATATTTCCTCAGAAGTGCCCAATCATAGGCAAATGGTCATACCGCGAAGCTGTATCCCTGAGCGGCTTCTAGCCATTTTCTTCGATTGAATCTTTGAATCCATGAACCCAACCTGCTATGGTACTGTAGTAGATTGCGGTTAAGATTTTACAATATGTTACGAAACTAACTTATACCATCCTATGTGTCCGCGCTTCATCCAAATCATATCAAACCCGTCTTCTGAAACTGCCGCTAAGGTTCTGATCGATCCACCCTTGTTTCTGACAAAGCCTACCAAAAGGAAATGGATTTGCTGCGAGTGTCTACTGTCAGTCCAACCCAGGATTTCTGGCAGCAAGGGCTTCCACCCAGTTGTCATGTGAATTTGATGGGACAGGCTAAAAGGCATCTCTATCCCGAAATTCTGCTGGATTGCGCTATCGCATGCTATCGCCGCATGCCCAAGCCAAACAAAACAAACCTTTAGACTCCACATTGCAACATAATGCAACCACGGGTTCTACAGTGTGACCGAGACCCTTCCCGGAGGTCCCCAGCAAGAGGCAGATGCCGCTGCACCTTTTCGCTCCAAGTTGGGCTCGGTGATCTTGAGCCAGTCAGTTGATTGGCCCTTGAGCCATAGTTGCAGGAGGGCGTCTCAACGACTGTAAAACTTTTAAAACGACCTTAGTGGGGGTGCATTGGTACTCTGTGCTGGTTTCCCAACCGCACTCCCCCTTCCTGCTTGCAGGAATCCAGGTTCCCCAACACCAAAACAACAAGTTCAGGGGCGGCCACGTTTCCACTGGGAACTCGCCCTTCCCCCAGCCAGAAGGGCGAAGACCCTCGTGTGCCATGGTCCCAAACTGGTGTTGATTCCCCCTTCAACCATTGATCGCGTGGAGTTCCACTTCGGGTTGACTCCAAAAAAATGAAAAACTACAGCCCTAACTTCGTAGGTTTTTGAATTCCATCTCTCAACAGCGCTGCACTCGAAGAGCGCCCAACGGTGTTCTTTGGGTCCAGCAGCTGATGATCTTTTCCCTGTGCTGATCTTTTCCACCGGCAGCTAATGATCTTTTCCCTATGCTGATCTTTTCCACCGGCAGCTAATGATCTTTTCCTTGGGTCTTGATGATCTTTTTCCCAAGCCACCGGTGTTCTTTTTCTGGCGACCTATGCCTTTTTAGGTGGGTTCTTCACCACATCCCTTGGGTCATGTTTGACCAAGAAAACGGTGTATCCCACCCATTTATCCTCAACCCACCTGGTCTCCCAGGTGTAGTCCAGGATAATTTTTCGCTCTTCGGTGTCTAGGGTATTCCACAAAAACGTGACCCGATAAGGATCTAGCTGGTCGACCCTTTTTGGTAAGGTGGGGCGATCTGGATGAAACGCATTCTGTCTCCACTTGTAGTGGACACGTGTGACGATTCGCCCATATTCGCCAACACCTGGCACAACCCACATGTCAACGGCCTGCTCCTGGCTTTCGAAGCCTTTTACGGCCGGTGGCTTCGTCATCCAGGCTGTGTCCTGTCCCGAGATGATGTATTCCACCTCACGCATGACCACCTCAGGCATATGGACTGTCCATTTGGTCGCATCTTCGGGGCGTCGACGGCGTCGAATTAAGTCTTTTCCCGGACGAATCCTTGGTCTTTGGGTCGGTGGTGGAGTCTCCGGCTCTGCCGGCTCCCTCGGTGTCTTGGAAGACTCAGTGCCCGTGTCTCCTTCCGGGTGCTCCTCGTACCACTGTTCCCATTCAGCTTCCGTGTGCTTGTTCTTCTTCTTTTTCGGCTCCCACTTGTCTCCCCAAGCGCCATCCCACCAATACCATTCTCCTCCATCCACTTCATAATAGGCCGCTGCTTTCGGAGCTGCCTTAGAGAAGGAGGCTTGGACCGGTTCCGCAGGTGATTCCCTTGGCTCTGCGGGTTTTCCCTTTCCATAGACTGATCTCATCCTTGTCAAATAATCAGCCGTCTTTTCTCCTTCTCTCTGCTCCTTCCATTTTCCCCAGCCTTCCTCATTGGTAGGTAACCCTTCCTCTCGCTTTGGCACGGCCACAGGTGGTTTTTTTCGGCGGTGGCACCTTAGGAGCCCCCATACCTCCTGGTAGCGGAGCTATTGGTCCTTTTCCGGCCCTCCCCGATCTTTGCGATTCGGTTGCAGCAGGATCTGGACTTCTTTTTCCTTCTGATCGCCTTGTGGTTGATTCCGATTCCTTACGTGGCGACCTTGATCGCCTTGTTTCACCCCGTCTCCGACGGTCTCTTCTTCTACCTTCTCTTTTGTCATGGGCTCGATCCGCATCCCTCTCTTCGGTTTTTCTCCTTTTTTCTGATCGATGATCTTCTCCCGGACGTGTTTCTTCTTCCTGAGGCTCATCTTTTCCCGCTACAGTTGGCGCCGCCGTGGAATGTTCTTCTTCCCCCACGTACATCTTTTCCTTGATCTTTCAGGGCCAACTTCACCATCAGTTCAGCTTGTTCAACCATTTGTCGATTGAACTGGGGAGCCACCAAGAGTGTCAAGTGGCCCATGAGCCATCGGAAAACTTCCCACACCAGGATGGCCATCATTGCGTAAAGTACACCGAAGAATTGCCCGAAGACGCCTTGAGAGACATCTTCACCATCCATAGCTGCCACCGGTGCGGCAAGGCAGACGAGGATACTTTTGAGCCCAAAACTTTTGGAGAAATAAATTGTTGCGGACAACCCCAATCCCCAAACGGTAAAATACTGAAATACCATTGGTTGCGGAGCTATCCCCTGTGAGGTTTCAAGATGAAATTTTTCTTCACCCATCTCACCTGAATTCCCCAAAAACTCCATCCCCCGAGTTGCAACCAGATCCCTCGGCTCTGTGGAACCCGACCTTGGTACAACTTCGGCAGCTCGATGGTCTTTTCGCTTGGACCTGGAAAATACAAGTCCCACCGTTTCCCTTGTCCACCGCCCTGGATGGTCTTAGGGAAGGGTTCTACTTTTCCCGCACTGTGCTCTTGGGTAACATGACCGTGATGATCTTGTACCCGCAAGACTTTCAAAATTCAGGACTTTCATCCCAAAAATGAACCCTTTTTGGTTTTGAGTTACCCCTTTTGGACCTATTACCCCGTTTTAGGATACCCCTTGGTTCTTCTTCTTCAGGGCGATCTTCTTGTCCAGGGATGTTTTTCTTCTCCAAAAACGGTAAGACCGACTCCAAATGGAACCGATCCTTGACCACATTTTCAGTGACACGGTACGCATCAGCTAATACTTGCACCAGCCTTCCAATGGCAGTGCTCATGGCTTCATGCCGGAAATCGGCTAGTTCTGGATGTTTCTCGGCCAGACCGACCGCCTTTTTCACCACTGATACACACCGACCAGCGATGTCTCGGTAGTTGTCCCAGGAGGAAGTCTCCTGGTTTGGTTCTTCCGGATTATGTTCTTCTCCCAGAGGTTGTTCTTCACGACGTTTAGACCCCATTTTTGGTTCCTCATTTGGAACCCCGGAACCTTGGTGATTGACGAACCTCCAGAATCCAGAACCTTTCCCAGCTTGGTTTCACGGTGATGATCTTCGTCAGAAAATCGGCAACAAGTTTTACTCCCGGAAGGTGATGGATGATCCAACTACCATCCTTTAACCGTTCCCTTAGGGCTGTTGCTCGCAACCGCAAGTGCCGAGTCCTCCACGGACAGTCAGGATTTTCCAAGATGGCTATCGCAGCCGTGTTGTCTCCGTAGATGATCTTCTGCCCGATTTTTCGTCCTTCCACGACCTCTATGAGAGACGCCAAAGAGTCTCCCATGACCATGGACTCCAAATAGGACATCAGTTCCCCTTCGTCGGTGCTCAACACCACGGACGCTTGACGGCTGGCTTCCCATTGAACCAACCCTCCACCATAAAAACCTAGGATACCCTGCAGTGATCTTTCGCCCGCAGGGGCAAATGAAATGTCCGAGAACATTTCAACTTGTTGCATCTCCCGGTGAAATGGTAGATCATCTTCGGGACCACGATCGTCACTCGTGCAAACCCCATAACTGAGATATTGCGTTTCGGTTCCCTTCAGGTACCCAAACGCCTGTTGTGCGGTTTTCACCACCCATTTGGGCCGCTTGTTCGCCTGTCGTTTCTCTTCCCGCGTGGCTAACAAATTTTCTCGATCTTGTTGGATCTCGGTCTTGCCCCGCTGGATGAATTCCATCGCTTGTTGTTTCAACTCCTCATACTTTTCTTTCTCCCTCGCATCCGCCTGATCAATCAGGTCTTGCGACACTGTGGGATAAGTCAGCTCCTTCACTGGAGTTTGTGGACTGCTCATTAGAGCTTCCACTCGCTTTGCGGCACTCCATGGATTCGTTTCTTCTGCAACCATGGCCCCGGTTACCATCCCAGGATCCACAACTGCAGTTTCCCACTGAGGTACCATTCCCGTGGGTGGCACTCCAGCACACATTGATTGCTGAGACATCCCAGCTGTTTGCGAACCCTGTGCCTCCAGTTGCGGTATACACCACAGGTGCTCCTGCTGGCTGGTAAATCACCGATTGTTTGACGCGTGCATCTTCAGGAGACTCAACAGGTGAACGTCCCGGTCGCTCCAAAAGAGCAACTGTTTCTACAACAGCAGCCGCACCTCCACCCACTTCAGTTGAGCTTTTTGGTGTTTTCCACCCTGTCCTTCTTCTCGATTACCCACAACTGGTGGTTCACAAGATCCCTCAGACATCCGGGCAACAACTAGTGTTTGTGCTATCTGCACTCCTGAAAGAGTTAGACTACTCACACCTGGGGTCAAACCAGACAACAGACCACCATTCCCACACATTTCCTCGTGCCACTTCAAGTCCAGGAGGTTCTTCAGGTGGCAAGGACACTGGTCTTGCGACTTCTTCCGCAGCAGCCGGATTCTGGGCGATTCGTTCTCCCGCTCCAGCCCGGACCGCCGCAACCTGCACTAGGGCTCCACTTCCCCCAGCACCGGTCAGTGCCATCACACTTTCTCCAACTTCCTTTTCCATCAGTGATCTTCGGGTTGAGTCTGATGATCTTGTCCCTGTTCTCTCCCCATGTTCTTTACCCGGTGTGTCCATCTCCTCCAGAAGCCGACCCAGCATTTGGTCTGCCGTTTCCGCGCGTTCTTCTTTTCCATGGGTCCCATGTTGTACTTCTTCAGCATGAGCAGCCGCTTGAACTTGACGTTCTTGTCGACGACGCTGAGTGAAGTCGCTGCTCGACATGGCTTCAAGGCAGCGTTGGGGTTGGGCTCATAACCCACGGGTTCTACAGTGTGACCGACACCCTTCCCGGAGGTCCCCACCAAGAGGCAGATGCCGCTGCACCTTTTCGCTCCAAGTTGGGCTCGGTGATCTTGAGCCAGTCAGTTGATTGGCCCTTGAGCCATAGTTGCAACAGTCGGAGGACGTCTCAACGACTGTAAAACTTTTAAAAAGACCTTAGTGGGGGTGCAGTGGTACTCTGTGCTGGTTTCCCAACCGCAGTAACATAATGTAACTATGCAATAATCATCTGCCATGACCAAAAGCATCTAGCTCACACACAGCCTGACACGGTCTTGTATACCGATATGCCACCCGAGCTTCTGCGATGGGTACAAAAATTAGCTTGACATCGCCAAAGGGTCAAAAGGTGCAGTCTCTCGCAAGGGCGATCAATACATTCTGCATAGTGAGAAGAATCTCGGCCCAAAGTGCTGTGACATGCTGTGACGTAGAAGTACGTCGAATGATTCAGCAACTTGCTCCCTCTGTTGCAGGACAGTGCCTCTCCAACAGCTGTCTGAGCATAGTCGAAACCATCTCCATTCAAAGGGCTTGTGGCCTTGAAGCGCCGCCGAGTCCATTCCAAGTGTTGTGACAGGAAAGTTGGAATGCTTTTAGTCAAAATAGGTTTGCCAAGCATTTAAATTCAGAACTGTTTGCCCCATCCACTGGGAAGCACATACACTTTTCAAACTTTTGTAGACCAAAGAATGACATGGCGAACTTTCAGGAGAAGCAGAGACAGAGTTCTACGCTCAGCCATCGTTACAACAATTGCGGAGGCAGGAGCCAGGAGAAGCACGGGCTCTCAAAAAATCAATGAAACTGAAAAGGGGAACAAAGCAGCGAAAATGGCGGCACACAGTCCAAAGACCTTTGCAAGCTTCACACTTCACATTCAAACAAGTTTGACTATACTATCCCAATCGTTCCTTGTCCATGAAGGATACTACAATCTTATTTTGATTACAGTACTTAATGCCAAGAAAACACAGAACTCCATAATATTCGATCAACATCCTTTAGTTAGATTCCAAACTGAACTTTCGAGCTGGTGTTGGACCATGTCGAGTAGCTGTGTCGATGGCTCGGAAGCCAACATCCATAGCTTCCCTAAGGCTTCTGGAGCTCTTGGCACTGCCAGCTGCACCGAACGCAATGACAGGCATGGAAAATCCGGAATTCCTCAGCACAGTTGGGCACCGATTCTTTGATCTCTTCACGTATTTCTATCTAAGCATCGACAAGCCTAGAGCTGCCAACTCGTGCAATCTTTTTGTCACTTGATGTCTGCTGATACCTAGTTCTGGACACTTTAGCTATCTGTGCCTCGGTGCACCTTTTTAGCTGAATCGTGCACTTATGTTCGATCAATGGGGTTTACTGTGCGAATATACATAGTAAACTAATGAAGCAAGACAAGGGGACGCAAGCAAGCACCACATAGATACTGCTCTTTGCAAGGGGATCTACAAACACACTGAAAACTCTTCTTCCCTTGTGGCCATCAGTAGCTCAGAAAAGTTGGAAGTGTGAAGCACCAAACACAAAACGATCTTGTCGCTTCAGTGCTTTTTTTTTGCAAGACTGACTGTGTCTTGTCATTTTTGCGGTAGGTTGGTATGGGATGGTATGGGCATGTTTGATCCTTGCTTTTCTATAATATGATTGCTCCTGGCAGGTGCGGTACTTTATACACTTGTCAGTCATGACGCTTTTCCTCAGTTTCACGCCGCAGTTCCATCTTTTTTGGGGTGGATTTTTGTGGTGTTTTCGCTGTAGTCTCGGGTTCATCTTTTCGAGTAATACATTTCACCCATTTCATGAATGCTTGTGTTGAGTTGCCACCTGCAATTCTTTTCTCTCCAAGTAAGTCATAGCGCAGCATGAGCCCACGTCTGCAACTTGATCGAAGGTGAACGAACGAAACATGTTTTAAATGCTCTCCAAAGAGCATGGTCACAAATTCGCAAAAACGGCACTCTTACCCGTACGGTTTTTTGGGCGTAAGTGAAGCAAATGCGAAGCACACACATGCCATGCATTCCCCGGGTCATTTGGTTACCTGACCGAGATGATGAACACAGCACATAATTATCATCACAAACACAGAAAACCGCTGATTGGGAATAGTGAAGAGCTCACTTCAAACTTATTCTCTGAAACATCTGAAGCCAACGCGAACTCCTCACAAAAGGAGAAGGTAGCTGACCAAGCGTGTATTGAACCTGGTAGTGTCCTACTTCACATTCCAAGAAAAGGTCGGCGTTCTCATAATATCAGGTCACTTTATCTGTTAGCCTGTTTTCCTATTTTTTCTTTTCGTAATCTCAGCAAAGCAACGTGCCTCAATATCTCAATACTTTGTCACCAGCTCAAACCGCTGGTACCATCCCCCGGCGCTCAGACCAGCATCAGTTGCACTTTCGGAATATCGCTGGTGGTTGATATGCACTTTCCAGCAAATTCGTTCTGACATCTGCAAAAAAAACACCACCTACGTACCAACTCACGACCAAATTTGCAAAGAAGATGTAGAATTTCCTATGAATCAACTTATTCTCTTTAAGTCAAGCAAGATCAACTCTTTTGCTGGCCACGTGATTATCATGATTGATCTTCACTGTTCCTTGAGTGGTTACTTTCCACAACAAATGCAGTGCTGCCATGCCTTTGTGACATGTGCCGTGCAACGCATCCAACGCAGCCAACGTATTCAATGCATCCAAGGCGCTACGTTGACCAGCTCGTGGAGTTCCAGGGCTGCGTCGCGGAGCAAAGTGCCGGTAAGGAGGCCGTTGCCGTACAAAAGCAGAAGCAAAGCGAAGGGCAAACGAAACAACTCGTCACCTGCGTCACTTGCGTCAGCTGCGTCACCTGCTCCAGCAGGCGGAATACCACCAAAATCACCAAAGGTCTTTGCATATTGTCAAGCAATTTCAGTTTCTGCTGAGAGTTCACTTTTGCAGATAAAGGTATAGCCGGTGTAGCAATAGACCATGGCCTCTTTGGGCCAGTTTGGGATTCCTGATACTTACTGTCCCTTTGTGTCCGAACATCCTGTCACTATGGCGACCTTTCCCTGGTCAGGCGCACCTTGTGGTATCGCGCATGCAAACGGGACGCACGCTTGAAACTCAGAGACAAAGCGCTCCTTCAAGAGATTGACAAGTTCGTCAGAGATCACGTTTTTATCCTGCGAAATCTTCAAAAGCCAAAATCTTTTGAACTTCAAAAAATACTTGGAAAACGACATTGCATGACGGTCTTTTTTCAACCAGAACCCTCTACGAGTGTCTTGCTTTCGAAATGCAACCAGATGCAATACTTAGACAAGACATGACGAGAATGCGGGGCAGCCATACTTCGCTTGGTTGCGATGCAAAGTCTTGAGAAAGGGAAGAAAATCAGCGGCATCAAGGAACTGCAATCAAAACAAACACAGAAGCACGAAGGCAAAAACACTCGAATCTTACGCCACTGCAAATAAAGATCCATCTTGGTGAACAAAAACTGCGTCACAATGTCATTCACTGTGTCGCATCGAATAGACACACGCTTCCTCAATGGCACTGCGAGCAAACTCAAAGCCAATGATGCCACACATCACTAACTCTTATGCGCTATGCAGCTGGGCATTCTGTGCGTTGAGATTATGAGACATTCAGCCGACTTGGTGTCCGTGCAAGTCTTGGAACGTCTTGGACATACAAGCTGATACAGCTGATAGCCTTTCACATCCTGCCTCCGATGTTTATCAACCAAGCATCAAAACACCATGGCATGTAGCGGTATCTCCGTAAGAGATCGGTGGGCCAGAAGACTCCCAAATCTTTGGCAACCTGCGGCAAGCAGTCTTGCCATGCCTTACCTTTCCTTCCCACAATGTTTCCATAATATTTCCTCTCATACGCAGTCAACTACCAAATTGGACTTCGGGGTCACCTGTTCCCCCGACAACGCCACCGTGGCTTCGGAAGGATTGATGAATGGAATCCCAAACATGGCATTTACCGCGTGTGATGTACTGAAACCACTGTGCCCGTTACAAAGATTGACAAAGTATGAACGTCGTAGTCCTTCGTAGTCCTTCTTCTGTGCTCAAAGGTCCCGCTATCGGACTATCGCTGTCTATTCCTCACGTCACGGAGCCCTGGCCTTTGGACAATCTCTTCAGAGCATGTCGACGCTGCCAATGCTCGATAGAGAATCGCAACATGGGCAACATGGATAAAAAAGGTCCTCATGGACCTTTTCAGGGCTCAGTGGTGCTATTTGTTGTTATACAGGGACTCAACCAAGTGGTCAAATTTGTCTGAGTTATCAAACATTCATGAGGCCCGATATGGCCAGATTCATTACTTTGTACTCTTCTGTGCATCATGGCACGAAACAAATTGAAAACTGCTAGAATCTGCTAGAACATTCCGGATCATTCTGGATCATTCCGGCATAAAACGCCATGCTTAGGTCGGCTTGGCGACATCCTGCATCGCTTCCACCGTTGTAGCAATGTGTTCCGAGCTTGGAGCCAAGGGCAGCCACAAATACCAAAATTATTCAAAATTGATAGGGCACCTATGGGCACCTTAATGCACCTGTCTCGCATTGAATTTCTCTCATGAGAAGAGCTTCTGGGGGATGTATACCAATGATTCCAGGGCCAGCTTCGCATAACAACGGAGCGTATTTCCCCTCTTGGATGGTGGATTTCTTGTGAAACTGACTCGCAGTGGCGCAAGTACAACACAGTGGCTAGTCTTGAAATCTGAATCAAGGCTTGATGCGCACCCATGGTGGTTGGATGGCCCAAGCACTGGTAGGAAGTTTAGATGAGCTGTACTTGGCCAATTCCCCTTTACCCAACAAAATCATGGAATTCACAAAAACTCTATAAATGGCAGCCTGGGTCAAACAATTGATGCCGCCAAGGTTTCAAGGTACAGGTTCATCCTTGGATATATAATCTTGCATACGCATGGCATATTCCGAATGCTTCCTAATTGAAGCGCATCGGCAAATCTACCCATACAATAATCTGGGACTCTAATTATGTTTTTTGCTGTCGGAAAAAGTGTTCTTGTCATGTCTGTCCTTGGCAAAGACTCAGTAAGGACTGGTTCATGCCGAGACATGCGGACACCTCCTCATTCCACAAACACAATCCCACTCGGATGATCGGACAGCCTTTCTTCTTCTGAAGCCCACATCATATAGTCTGTTCCGCAGCTGGTTTTGCGGCCTGCCTTTTACGGGACTCGCCAGCACGGACTCAAGAATGCGTCTCCGAAGGTGCTAACCTCATGCGTTGGATTTCACTGCAGCTTGACTTGTTCCAATAAGCATCGAGAATCGAAGAAAAGACACTTTGGGACAGCAACATCTCAGGGTCTGAGATGCCAAACTGGAACAAATTTTGACCAAATGTCACTGGCTTGATGATATCCAAAATGCTCTCGCACCAGCGCAGAGTAGCAACCAACCGCAGGCACCTGCAACACACCACATCAATTCTTGATTGCACACTATCTGATAAACAAAAAATCGCGAATCATTCTTGTTGATTCTCAAACTACTCTACTTCGCCGATCCCCACAGTCATATAAACATCCCTTTCATTTATTCTGACACAAATTCTGATATCCTGGCATATGTTTTCCCATAGATTGCACCACCTAGCGTGCCACATGTTCTGACATATAATATGGTGAATTATTTTGATACAGTTTGACATATTCGGGCAAATTTCTGGCCGTCAACTCTGACATAAAGTCTGTCAATTCTGGTAAATTAAATGCGACGCATTCTCTCAGATAATACTGAGAAGTTTCACGTGGCATATTTCTGATATATCTGATATCTATTCTTTCTATTGTCGCACAGAGTCGAGGGCACCCAGAAATCCTTGAGCTTAGACTCTGCGAGGTTGAGGCGAAGTCGAGGCGAGGAGGGAGCGGAGGAGGTATGGGCTACAAATGGCCACAGAGAAAGTGTTGGCTCTCACCGTCCCACTGGATGCACAGGCCTGCTGAATCAGAAAGCGGAGCAGTTTTTGAGCGCTGGGTGCCTTCTTCAATGCGAGTAGCGGCTTTCATACGCACCCTCAGATTCAGCAGTTTCCTGACTGAAGTTTCATTCTCTTTGTCTCATTCAAAAGAAACGAATATCAGAAAAAACGCCACGCTGAAGTGCAAGCCGAATTGCGATCATTCCGATGAATGTGCAGCAAATCCCTGGAATTCAAACCGATGGCAAGTGCACACCAGCGGTCACCAGTGGTCACCTCAGGAGTGCCGATGTGTAGGGAGCCGATAAATAGAGGGAATGAACCCTCCAAATTATTTATGAAAACATCATCAAAGTGTCTCATGGCAATGGGTTGCCCCGCCTGGTCGATGGCAAAAGAGTCCGTTTTCGATTTCTTGAAGATGTTCTGCAAGATGTCCTTCCTGCAGGCCATTCCTTCCCCTTTTGAAAGGCGGGCAGAAACTATGAACATCGCAGGTGACAGGAAAAGATTGCTACGCAGCTGTTTGTTCAAACCGCAATCAAGAAAACCAAGCCCCGACACATCAGGCCAATTGAATCCATTCACCGGGGCCAGACCTAAAGGCTTTGCCGCGGCGTCGCAAAAAGAAAGCTCAGCGGAACCAATCTGCAAACCAGGCCTCTGTTGATAAGTTGATCAGAGTTCCAAAGGACCCCAAACATATAGATCCAAATTATTCAAAAGCTATCAAAAGACTTGAACCTCACCAAATCTGGAAAATGCCCTGCAGACGTGAATGCCGAAAAACATTCCTGACTTCGTCCAATGAAGGCAAGTTGCAAAAGACATGAAGCGACTGATTCAAAAAACTGAAAGCAAAACCAAATGTACTCAGCGAATGCAAGCATACCGTGGAGCAAAGGAGAGAGTAGCCAACCAGAAAAATGTACAGCACCTGGTCAGGTTTCATCATCAGAACGCTGGCCGGCTTTGGACAGAACAATCCAGGCTTCACAATGTGAACCAAGCCACAAGTACGCCCACGTCAATTTCACATGTATGGCGAAAACAAATCAGAATATGTCAGAATAACCCTCCCCCGCCTTACCATTGTGAAAAGGATCATTTTAAGATGCTCCCCTTGTGAACTTGCGTGCAGCGAATCATGGAGAATCATTACTTGTTTGACGAGACAAAGTTCTCAAAAACTTCTGCCGTGGCACGGGGGTGTAGCACCGCTCCGACAGCTTGCGGAAGACGCTGGCGCAAGGCTTCTCAATGAAGTGATGCGATAGACAGGCAGGGATTAACGTAAGAAGAAGCACCGGAAGGAAGTTGAGCGTCAAGTACTCCAGCATGCCTCACGTGGCTAGTTTTGCTGCAATGTGAAGCCAGCAATCGCGTTGTTAGCGATTGATATGGATTGATTGGGGACTCTGCAAAAGCTTGAATTTTGACGCTTCAATTTTTTGATCTCAACCCCTTTCAGATGCAAAATGGCTGAACACTCACATCTGTTTCTATCTGCGCCCAAAAGCAATCGGTAAGCCCACACGGCATCAATCGTGCCTACGCCTGGCTCAAATCTTTTCCAACAGCTCTCCCCATTGGCATGAAATCGCGGCAGCCAAGGGTCAATTCTGTCCGCGGTTTTGAAGTTCTGACCAAGCAGGGCAATGGACATGCAATGCATCATAGATCAGCATATGCCAGGCATTGATTTGCAAAGCGCGGTCACCTGGCTGGGCCCTCATCTGATCTAGCTCAAAAACCATCCTACGTTGAATGTTGAACTCACAAAGAGTGAACCTGACAAAATGGCAAAACATTCGATGTTGCCATGTTCAAGTCATGTCGAACATTATTCCAAGCTAATTTTACGAAGCTGTCTACAGCAGGCGAACTTTCTAAGATATACGCGCCCAAGGATGAGTTCTTTACGTGAAAAACAAATCGATGCTTGCCCCCTCGGCGCTTGGATGCTGTATTTGCCAGGCCAAAATGCAGCCAGGCAGAATCCGAAGACAATCCACACACAAAATAGGGCCCTAAAACACGGAACAAGTTGTGACTCACTTGTCCAGTCTCAGAAAGCCATTCCTGGTTTCAAACAATCCAAATGTCACTATAGAACGGTCTAAAACATTCACCAAACTGCGTGCGTAGATATTTCACATGTGCTCAAATGAAGCTCGCCGAGCTTCTGAGAAAAGTTATGCAACCAGCTAAGGCCGACCGCTCTTCACCTGCCGGGATTCCAAGGAACAAATCTCAAGGAACAAAAAAAACAACAAATCTGACAGAAAGAAACCGGATGAAATTTGAGAATTCAAGACACAGATGGGAAGAAAACGGACAATCCTATGGGTTCCTGCAAAGGCTAGACGTGCTGTGCGTGTGTGCTCCTGTGTGCTGTGTGCTTAATGCTGAGTCCCCTGTTCAAACTGGAAGACCCTTCGTGGCAAGACACGAAGGCGAGGTTAGTGACCCAAGGGCACAACATTACTGCATTACTGGTCGTTTTGTGCAGGCCGCAAGCCAAAGGCGGAAATTCCAGAGAGAGAGAGAGAGAGAGAGAGAGCTGGCTGCAAGAGGCTTGGCCAAAATGACTCAGAAGCCGCCCTCCTAGAATCAGCCGGATCATCAAAGTAGGCAAGTGTTGACAAGTTATCTTAGCATCTTCGAATCAGGCCTTTGAGATAAATAAGTATATTTTAGTATCATTAAAAAGTATGAAAGAATTAAATGTAATTATATGATATTATATGTATCATGTATCATGTAGTATCTGTTCGCGTCTGGACAGGAAGGATCAGGAAGGTATTGGTGCGGGAGTCCAGGGACAGATGGCGCCCAAGCTGGCAAATAGCCGACGCAAGGGAAGTCTAGTTTGCTACGTCGGGCCAGTTCGCTATGAATAGCTATTGCGTTTGCTACATGGACAATCATGGACATGCAGTTGCGATTCACTTGGAAGCGAGCACAAATCAGATCTTTTCACATGACACAAAGTGACACAACTTGACAAAATGACACAAAGTTCAGAACAGTGTTGGTCAGGATTTTGTCAGGGTACCAAAGCCATCCAGGTCATTTTCAAGGCGGACGCTGCTTTCCCCGATGGCCCGGTCCTCAGCTCAGGCTGAAATCAGCCATGCCGCCCGTGGTTCCATCCACATCATCCGCAAAGCAATGTGGACAAAAGCTGACGGAAGATATGCGGCACATGCAAAATATGATTTATACGAATATGCATATATGATCATATATGACAAAATATTGTAGTATATGACAGTGTATGATCCCGCATGATTCAAACGGCATGACTCATCAGAAAATATCAGATAATTCTTATGAGTTGGATGGTATTTCAACAAGAATGATGGGCGAACTATATCCCGCCACAATAAAGACATATGCCGGCAGCGTGGGTTTCAGTTTGCTGTCCCTTCAACTGCGTCAAGCTTCGTTGACAGGCGTAATGGACGGTGTGGGAGCCATCATGAAGTGCAGAGATACAAACGCCACAATTTCAAAGGGCACGCAAGACAGCACATATCGGAAATCACCTCGCAGGACATGAGGTCAGCACGGTCAGCACCAAAGACGGAAACGTTTGGGACAAACGAAGTTTTCTACAGGAATGGTTTGGTGATGTTTGGTGATGGTGGATGTGCAAGCCCGCAGAACTGAAAGTACCTCAAACCAATCCAAGCAACCTCGTGCCCAATTATTCCCTGGATGATTCCCTTGGAACTCGTTCTCAGTGACGTTGTCGCCGACTGCCAGTTTATCAAAGTCACATTGTACGAGGCCCAGTCTCTGCCAATCGAAGCTTTGCCACTTTTGCATCGGTTCAGTTCCAATCCAAAACGAGAAACAAAGAGCCACCACAATCAGAGCGGAGGTGAGGAAGAGACCCAGGCTGTGCTTGACGCGTCCCATGAAGCTCCGGACATGCGCAGATCGCAAAGGGGTGTCCAAGGCGAGCCACATCCTGATGACAGGGAAAAACCAACAGGCCCTGACGATCGCGGTCCAGTGACTAGCAGCATCTTAGCATCTTTCAATCTAAATTTCAACCACTGCAACACTGGAAGCCAAAGAACCCTCCTCCAAAATCTTACGAGCCATGATCCAAGGATCAGGCAGGTCGGAAGCCAATGCATCCAAAAGTTTAGGTGCATGTCCACTTGGATTGTTTTGATCCAGGCAGTGCAAGCTGCTGGACTCATTTCTTGACTTAACAAATAGGACCAATACGCCACTGCGAATGCCACTGGCACGAAGGAGAGCCTCTGCTTGTGCCTTGCGCGGCTTGTGCGGAGCTCGGAGAGTCCTGTCATTCTCTCTCTCTCTCTATATATATATAGTCAGCAGCCAAGGTTTTGGATCTCAGCACCCCACGCCGTGCTTTGACCTGTAAGCCTTAGCGGACGCATCGGCGGCGGTGTCCACGGGCCATCTACCAGTTGCACGTTGTGTACATTGGTGGTCTGGCCTTAGCAAACTGTTTTGCAAGTGCTCTGTCGCGCTGGCCACGCAACATCACCTCTGATCTGTGCTCCCAGGCACGTAAAAAGCTGGGGGCCTTGACATCAACGTCTTCTACATCTTCCTGGTGCATGGTCCTTCTCCTGTTCCTGCTCTACTGGATCCTCTCTGACAAGGGCGATTACGCCTTCTCAACGAAGAAGAGCACGCCGGGCTCGAGCAATTGCACGCTATCGCTGGCACTGTCATCACACAGGACTGCGGCAATTGCATTTTGCGCAAATTCGTGGGATCAAGAGAACCTTAGAGACACATCATTCCAGAGATTGGGACTTCATCAACAAGATCCAGGAAGCAATGGCGGCCAATGGCAAAGAACCATGGAGGTGCAAGTGGTGTATGCGTCTCAACAAGATGGCAGCACTGAGATGCGGCAAGTGCGACACTTTGTGGCACAGGTGCATCGATCACACCTGTGTTCATGGAGGTCAACAAGACTACGCCGAGGAGTGGACGTACTACCGTCAGCCGAGCAGAGCAAGAAGTGCAAGCCATCACTCTTCTGCTTCGGAAGGCCAACCACGTGGAAAGAACCCCAAGGGCAAGAAAACGCGTCAGAAGAAGAATAAGAATCTTGCACCGGATTTGGATCCACCGTGGACTTCAAAAAAACAATGCACCTCTACCAGCACTACCAGATCAGCCCACGGCCTCGACGTCTGCATCAGAAGCGTATGTGCAGGAATTGGTTGCAGCTCTTCAAGACGACGAATGTGTGCTGTCCTCCAGAGCACAGAAGCTGGTGTCCGAAGGACCAAAACCTCCAACCACCAGCAAGGACATGCATGCTGCGGTGGAAAAGCTGGACCAAGCTCGCAATCGCTTTCAGGCGGCACAGAAAGCCAGGAAGAATCTCCAGACAATTCCTGGTCGACATACATCGACGAGAGCATCAAAAGATGGAAATCGTTCGTTGCCGACTTCGGCAAGAAAGACCAGGATTTGGAAGAAAGGGTAGAGAAATCCAAAGAAAGTCTACAGATGGCTCGCGAAAACCTGGACAAAGTGAAAGAGATGTTGTCCAAGCAGGATGCGGAGTCACTGGGAGTAGAAACGATCTCCGATGGAGAGGGAGACGAGGAGATCACCAAGATGGACTAATGGGAGGCGATTCAGACAGGAATTGCAACGATGGTGAGCAGCTTGGAGACCATACGCATTCGCCCTCACGAAGAATCACAAGAAGTGGAAGACTCTGGCAAGGCCGAAAAAGCCAGGGTCGATTCTGGAGGTGACTCCAAAGCTTTGCAACCTTTTGGTGGGCCAGGCAAGTAGACTTATCAGAGACTTGCTGCTGGCATATTGATCCACAGTGCTTCACAGATCTTACCTTTATCTGGAATGACCGTGCTTTGAAGAAACGGAATTTCTGTTCTCCATGGCAAGCAAGTGTTGAGGCTGTTGACCTTGCGCACGAAGTTGGCACATGGAATCAGCTTTCACACAAGCAGTTTTGCATGGGAGAACGGGGGCTTTTTCCAGGCCATGTTCGTTTTGCTGACAGTGTTGACCTCTATGTGGGGCATGAGGACGACTTGATCATGCGAAACTGGCCACATGCTTTGAGCTTTGGAAGTTCCTCACCCAAAAGCAAAAGTATTTACACCCATCGAGACCATCCCGAACTCGGAGCAACTAGATGTTGGTGATGACGTCTCCTTTGTGGCAGCACATGTACATCGACAACAAAATTTTCCAGTGCAACAGCATCAAGAACCTGAGATCATGAATGACCCAGAGATTGTGATTGATGACAACCACATCGACCATGTTCATGCTGAATCAGAATCTGACAGTGAAAGTCTATCAGTCTATCATCAGCGCAATTGCAGATCTACGCACAGGGTCGTTGGTTCACAACGATGATCTTCGCTTTGGATCGTTACCCAATCACGATGCGCTTAGATTGGAATGACTATGAAGGATTGCATCACAGCATTGCTGCTCAACTCAACATCCCGCCTGGTGATCTCTGCTACGTGCACTACGTTGCCACACGACCACAAGACCTAGCAAGGGCCAATGTCGAGGCATTTATTGCCCACCGTGAAGGAGATTTACAAGTGGGATCTTTGCAAAGAATCACTCTGTTGGATGTGGAGTTCCATGCCAGTAATCCTCTGATTGATCCGGAAGTTGTACGCAAAGTTTTCAAAGTGATGGACAGCTCCTCTATCTCACAGGAGTCGACAAGTACTGTGAGGGGTCGGAACAGCGCTGTTTGGTCTGGATCAACAACGATCTGATCCCATTGGGCACGAAGGTTCTGCACATTGAGGACGGAGACTACGTCAGAATAGCACTACCGCCTGGTGATGCTAGACTGGAACATGCGGCTACAAGATGCCTTGCAAGCGCTTTTCACCAAGGCCTTACAGTGTCGGAAGTCCTTCACAGGCACGCAATGTTCCTCTTGGGCTTCTATGATGTGGTGGTTGGACCACCGTATGTACCAATTGAACATGATCACGATGCGCATGGCCTCTTGCAGCTCACCAACCGAGTTGTGCCGCCTCTAGATGACATGCCATCATGCTTGAGGCAGAAAATTATACATGGACAAGATGACCCTGATTCCCTCCATCTCAAACTTGAAGGAGAAGTACACGCACCTGAACTCACAAAAAGTCATGATGATTTTCCACCAGAGCCGGCAAGGGCAGTTGAGGACATGCAGCCTGCTTTCATTCATGAACTTCGTGAACTATGGACGCATCATGCCACTGAGACGAGGGATGCTCATGAACCAGATCTTCGTATCGACACCTGGTATCTGGACTATCCAAGATACGTCACCTGCCACGAGAGTAGAAGTGTGAGGCTTGGCCGTGATTTCACTACGTGGCTGCGTGCGATGGTCTCTGACTGGCATGACAAGATTGATACAACATGGCCGATCAACATCATTGTTGTGCGACCGGTTCCTGCCACAACTGCACTACGTAGGCCCAATGTCAACGTGGTGATCGTCTTACAAAGATCGCTTCACGGGTCTGCAGCCAACCACTTCACCGTCATTGATTCCTCCCGAACAAGCACGGAACAATGGTGCTTCACTGGCTTTGCACCACAACAACTGGACAAACGAAGTGCAATCGTTGCGGCGGACATTTCTTCTCAATGTGAACCACAGGATAGCAGGCGCAAATGTATGATTTGGCATGAGGATACCGAAATTGCAGACCCAATATTTCTGCGAAATCGCCATGGGCTTGCATTGCTGTGCATCATCAACAACATTCCCATACCTATCAACTCCAACGTCTGGGAGGAAGAGATTGACGATGATTCCTTGATTCAACTCAAAGCCACACCACGTATTCTGCAATTGGATACCCTCATCAAAACTACCACTGCAGTTCGTATCATTTCTGGCTCCGTTGGACATTTGCTTCCCAGCTTTCTTGAAGTTGAACTACCAGGATGCGCTCAACAAGTTCAAGAAGAACTTCGCCTTTGGGGACATGACCTCCTGGTTTATGACTGTGAGTTTTGGAATACGTTCCTTTGCCTCCAGCTTGACTCAGAAAGCTCTGATGTGACTCACTATGTCTTCCTTCATGATGATCCACTGGATACACAGGGCACGATCTTCCACAGCTCCACCACACCCCTGACGCAGACACAGATTATGGAATTTCTGTGTGGTGTGGGATATCCCAGAGCAGTTGTCTTGAATTGCACTGGCATAGAGTTGTCTTTCATCATCGTGAACCACAAGGGCCAGTTCAAGATGTCAAAATCAAGAAGCGCACTGCTTGGCCGGAGAGAGGGCATCACCAACGCACTTCACGTGAGTTGATTGATGTGGAGAAGGTGTGCGAGCTCATCTCCAAATGCCAATTACAGACTGCGTTCAACAAGGATGACCTTGAGGAGCTCTTTGAGTCCAACGACCAACTGCTGTGCACGGACGTGTCTGTACTACAGTTGTCTGAACCTCTACAAACGGAACTTCAAGACATTCAACATCGGCCACTTGAATGTATCCGAGATTTAAACCAATTTGATCGCCTATTGATTTTCACGGATGGCTCTTCAAGACCGTCGATGAAAAGATTTGCTCCTCAACAGGCAGACGATCTTGGATGCCCGGACACGTGGGCAATGGCGGTGGTTGGAGAATGCTTCGCATCTCCTGAAGCCTCGGCCCTGACCTTCTTGGGTTGGGCTGCCTATCCAGTCCGATACGACCCCGATGGAGCAGCATACACTGGCATTAAACGCGTTGGGTCAGACATGGCTGAAAGATCGGCCCTGATTGGTGCGGGGCTCTGGAGGCTAGCATTGAATCACGCCATCCCGACCATTATATGATATTATATGCATTGATGCAGCGCACGTAGGAGGACAAGCCTTTGGTCTGATTGGCGCTTGTGAAGTGAACCATTCATTCCGACTTCTTCGCAGTACGTTAGAAGCAGCCTTGCCACGTGGTGATCTGGTTCTTCATCATGTACGGGCCCATGCTGGTGAGCTTTTCAAAGAGATTGTTGACACTGCGGCCAAGTTAGAAGCACAAAAGACCTTCAATATGAAACGCCAACCACTTCATCTGCCAAAATGGACACCGAAGCTGCTTCAGCTATGGATGGCGTTTGGCAAACAATATGGACTTCCAATATGGCAGGATGGAGGCCTGGATGTGACAGCGCCGGACTTGCCCGACAAGGAGATGCAGCCATTGACTACATCATGGTGGAAGGAGAAGTCGGAGACCCTTCACTTTGCAGTCAGCATGGCACCAGCGAATG